TGTCAATGGGGATGAATGAATGAAAACAACGAGCTTCATTCCATTTTCTACTGACTTGCCTCCAGCTCTGGAATTGCCGCTCCATTAAATGTTCGGGTGTAATTTTAAGAAAGGATTTGACACCATTTTTTTTTTCGAATCTGCGACTTCCAAAACAGATATCCAGAGTGTTTACTCCTCTCTTTGTTCCGCATGTGATGTTCTGGCCATTAAAGAGCCAAAATCGGCCGCCATCTGAGATTTTGGGCATTGCCGTGGGTTAAGGGGTCTGTTAAACAATTTTTTTGGAATCAGCGACCCAAAATACATAAGTTGTCCCAAAAGTACTGCACGTTTTTTTTTTTTTGGACGAACGGTAGTAGATATCAAAATTCTGTTTGTGTAGTCTTAAAAACCGAGCAATTACCGATAAAACAAGACAAATCCGAGCTCTCTAAGTCAAAAAATGACCAAGTTACAGTGTTTTGAAAATGACTTGTAGAGGTGACCCCTATAGGATTTTTAGCTTCTTTTCTTGAAAAAAACCAAAGAATTAAAGATTCAAGTGGTTTTATTAAATCAATTTTACAGAATCTTACCAAGATTACTAGCATTTACTCTTCTTCTTTGGACAACTGGACACGAGTTTCCTTCTCAAAATACCTTCCATCACTTGCCACACAGCGCCGCAACCGTTCTTCCCACTTCTTCAAATATGTTTTTTCGAATTCTTCTTGTCTGATGACTCTTTTAATAGCTCTTAGCTATTAAAAGAGCTCTTTTTATCCCGTTGATGGAGTTAAACTTCCTGCCTCTTAAGCCCTTTTTCAACGTATGGAATGACCAAAAATCGCAGGGTGCGAGGTCCGGGCTGATACCATGTTGCCAACCTCATTCGATCGCGACGATTTCTCTGTAGAATTTTTCATTAATCAAATCTTTGTTTTTTCCCAAAAAATCCTGGAGGGATCACCTCTACGATTCATTTTCAAAACACAGTAACTTGGTCATTCTTTGGCTCAGAGAGCTCAAATTTGTCTTGTTTTATCGGTAATTGCTCGGTCTTTAAATTAATGAAGTTACTTTGAATCTGTAAAAAGTCTGTGAATTTTCATACTCTCAGCTTTCTAGAAAACCTTAGTTTTTTTAATTCGGTCTCCTTAGTGCCGAGTGACATGATGCAAACAGAAACTGTGATGTCATCAAAGGGCTCAAATCAGCATTCAAAAGAAAATACTCTGGCTTTTTGTCTCATGAAGCTGTGATGCCTCATGATAACGCTAGGCCCCATACAGCTCATGTGACCAATCAGTTGGTGATCTCCTTGAAATGGGACCTTTCCCCCATCCTCTTAATTCTCAGGATCTCACCCCAAGTGATTTACCACGTATTACCTGGGCTACAGAAGGATTTTGGTGAAAAAAGTTCTGACAATGAGGTAAAAAAAGCTGTATGAAAGTGGTTGCAAAAACGGAATCACCAGTTTTACACAGATGAAATCACAATGGATGAGCTCAAAAAGCTCTTGTCACGGTGTGTAAAATGTGTTCAACGAGATGGGGGATTACGTGGAAAAGTAAAGTAAGGTCTTCCCTAACATGACAATTTTACATTTTAAACAAAAACTCACATTTTGACGATTTGCAGGATGAAGCCGCATGTTACCGTCCTGCGACCTCCCCAGCGCGCATAAATTTTGGACACGCGGTGGTGAGGGACAGGTGTGGAAAAACTAATGTCACTTGGCACTCAGAAGACCAAATTTTGAAAACTGATGTTTTTTAGAAAGCTAAGAGTATAGCAATTCAAAAATTTTTTACAGATTTAAATTATTTTTTTTTTTTTTAGAAGACATGACAAATATTAACTTACTTTACGAATTCCCCTTGTAGAATAATGTGCACCCTTGCATGATTCGATAGCCTATAAAGGAACCCATCACGTCGAGTGCCGGGAGGCCGGCTCGATTCATTGTGGGCATTAGCTTTGAATCTAAATGGGAAACTCATTCTTTTGTTTTGTGCTCACACCTCAGTTTGACGTATGTGATGAGCCAGCAATGCGGTGTAAATCTTCACACTTGAAGGGTTGATTCTGGAGTGATATTTAGATCCTAAGTTTAATACCATTGCCCAACAATGACATAGGTACAAATCTATGCTATCGATAGCACTCTTCCATGTTCGCTAATGAAATCCAGTTTCTTGAGTTAACAGTACCCTAACAGTAAGCTTAAGTGGCTGTGCCATCACATCCGCTCAAAATATTTCATTTTTTAATTTGCCGCCTAAATCAAACTACCGCTACTCGCTGCGTGCCACCTCCATTCCTGCTGTGCTATCTATTCTGATTATCATTATAATCCTTCTCTGTAGAATATCTACAGGGTGTTCCAAAAGTCCTGCTTCCCCCCCCCCCTGGTAACTTTTGAACGGTTAATGATAGAAAAACGAAACTTTAGAAATGTTTCTATCTCAAAGAGGACCATCTTCCAAGGGGGTCAAAATGTTTGCCCCTCCTTCGGGAGGGGGGAGGGGGCTTTTTTCCAATGGTAACCCGTATCTTGTGATACATCATTGGGAAGAGTATTACAAATGAAAAATTTTGGCGCAAACCACAGATCAGTATCTTAATTTTTGACCGAGTTATGACGAGTTGAAAGTCAAATTTGATCTTTTTTAAGAAAATCATAACTCCGATTCAAATTATCGTAAAAAAAATAAATAAATAAAATAAAATAAAAAGTAATAAATAAATAAATAAAACGGGAAAATTTACCAAATTGCACTTTCAAACATTTCCAAACAGAACCGGGAAATTCGCCAGAAATGATGCCCCGGTTCTTACCAGCTCTGCAACGAAAAAAGAGGGGGGCAGCGGGGGTTATATGGATGTTTCCGTCCCTAAAGTAGGCGGCAGTTCCTGTGTTGCAGTTCTCCGACTGGGCGCAACGTTTCAAGGGTCCGCGTCAAGTTCTACAGTGGTTTCGGGCATCATTTCTGGCGATTTTCCCGGTTTTTACCCGCTCCGCAACGAAAAATGAGGGGGGCAGCGGGGGTGTTTTGGATGTTTCCGCACTTTAAGGGGGTGGCAGCCCTTGTATTTCAATGCTCCGACTGATCGCAACGTTTCAAGGGTCCTCCTCAAGTTGGACATTAGTTTCGGGCATTATTTGTAGTGAATTTCCCGGTTTTTACCCGCTCTGCAACCAAAAATGAGGGGGGGGGCAGGGGGCTAAGAGTTTTGAAAACTTACTTCACAGTCGCAGGCTGCGTTTGCGTCAACATTGGCAAGAAGTTCCACTCGGATTTGATGCTAAGTTTGAAGCTCTTCTGTGACTTTTCGCATTTTAATGCAATGTTTCATTGTAACAGGCCCATCGCCCTCTACGGGGGGGCTGTGGTGGCCCGGGGGCAATATGAAGACTTCGGTATCAGACTTGGAGTATTCGAGGACTCTTTGAAAAGAGAAACGGTATATCCAAGAGCCGACGAAGCTACTCTAAAAAATGAAGGTACGGACCCCCTTAACTTTTGACAGGGGGGTCAGATCGACTTCCAGTTTGCGCCAAAAAGTTTCTTTTTTCATGCTCTTTCTAACGTTGTATCACATGATGGGGGTTGCCATTTGAAATTTTTGAGTTGCCCCCCGCCCCCCCTCCCCCGGGGGGGTGAAGAACTGAAAAGTACCTCAAAAAGTTTCCCCTCGATATGAGGAAGGACGCCACAAACCGCAAAAGATATCATAATTAGAACTAAAGTTATGGCCAGTGGTGCGTAACTTTTGAATAACCCTGTATATGTAATAACAAGAATTAATATGACCTCAGTTAAAAATGGAAATATTTGACAAACTTACTGTAACTGTTTAATGTTGGTTAGAGTAAAAACAATAAAAAGAATAATTTGTTGTAAGTTTGAAACTATGTGAAAAGAAGGTGAAACGCCATGGAATTGTGCTCTGGCTGAAAAATACCTAAGTACACGAGAGAAATAAAATAACGTTTAACTGATGAAGAGGAATAAGGATAGATATTTGAAATAGAAACCCTATTATCAGTAAAGAAAGGTATTTTTCAGCTGGAGACTCATAACCGGGAGTTTCACCTTCTCAACGAGTGGATTGTGTTGGATTTCAATCGACCTACTTATGCTATTTTAAGTTTTTATCTACTTTCAGACATGTACAATTTTATTCATTAATCATAAGATATTCATTTAGTTTCATTTTTGTATGTTCACCACTCTGCGGTGCTATTTGACTAATTCCTATGTAGACCCCCCTCGCCCTCCGTCTCCTGACGGCTCCTTGGCCAGGGCCACCCCTCGTTGTATCATCCCCACTCCAGCGCCCCAGATGCGCGCGCATTCCTCGCCGAGTGGAGGACCCCGTCTTCCCAGCGGCCGCTCTTGCCGCTGCAATTCAGTCCCGTTTTCAGAGCCCCCTGCGCTTCTCTTGAATTCGAGGCTCCTGGCCTGTCCAGTAGACAAATCCTATTTATTTGCCGCAGAGTGGGTACAACTGATGTACGTCACTTCGACAAATAAATCTAAAGTGTGAAACATTACCCCGTGTTACATCACTCACCCTGACTTCTGACTCCACTGAGTCAATTGAGCAGCTACCGGCACGAACTTGGCACATCTTTTAGGTGCGCTGAAAAGTTCGCGCTGACTCTCAACTTGGCTCACGGCACGGACTGGGCACGTCGCTGACGCGCTTAACAGTTCGCGCTGATTGACACTTTTCTCTATCTTTTTTTTATTATTTTATTTATTTGTTGAGGGACGTCGAAACCCCCCCCCCCCCAAGGGAAAGCCATACTTTATTTTTTATTATTTATTTATTTGTTTTTGGTTTTGGTTTTGACGGTTCCCGTTCATGGTCCCTCGGGCCGGATTTCAGACATTGAGCCGGCAATTGAAACTTAACTTTCTGTTCAAGCATCGACAGGATCACGGAATTGTTCTCGACAAAATTTCTTTGATTGATTGATTGATTTTTTGACATTCACTCCTACAATGAGTGAAGAAGAAATGACAAGAAAACTCAAAACATTGCGCCGCCAAAGAGGCAATGTTGAGGGTGCTATCACCCAATTCTTTAAGAAACTAGACGGTTGGAAGGAGAACCCCGAATGCCGGGATTCTGATTTTTTGGAGCAGAGCCTGGAATCTCTCCAAAAAACATATCTCAAATTTGACCGAATTCAGGATGAAATCGAAGAGCTCGATGAAACCGAGATCGAGCAACGAGAAGTTTTCACTGACCTTTTTGACAAAGCCGTCGCGCGTGCACGTAGGTACTTGCGCGATGCTGCCAAGTCTCCGGATACCGGAACTAAATCCGATAGTTCCACTTCCGCGGAAAATGAATCAACTTCCTCGATTTCAGTTAAACTGCCAACTATAGCACTACCTAGCTATGATGGGTCCCTGGAAGGATGGGCTTCATTCTTCGACCTATTCACCAGTTTAATTGATCAGAACCCGAAACTTACAGCCGTGAAAAAGCTGTACTATTTGAAAACTGCGATGACTGGTAAAGCTGCTGATTTGCTTACCAATTTTAAAACAACTGATGACAACTACCGATTGGCCCTGGATCTTTTAAAGGACAAATTTTATCGTCCACGACGCACCTTGCGTCAACACTATGGTAATTTACGTGATTATCCAAAACTTCAGAAGGATACACCAACGGCATTGGGAAACTTAGTTGATTTTTTCTAGGTCAACTTAAGAGCAATGAAAAACTTAGACGCTCCGATTGATCAATGGAGTGTTCCCTTGATCGACTTGATTTTGACTAAAATTGACGAGAAAACAGCTTATGAGTGGGAACTAAAATTGACTGATGATAAAATGCCAAGCTACGAACTTTTGCTTGCTTATTTGGAGAAAAGAGCAAATTCTATTCACTTGTCCGGTAAGCCAGAAACGAGTGAAAGTAACAAGTCCAAATCAAGTAATTTTCGGAAAGACACCAGCTCCAATTATCCGAAAAGAGGCGCTCTTGTCGTTACTAATGAGAAGCGGCACCACTGTAAATGCTGCAACGACGGAGTGCATCCCCTCTATAGCTGCCCTCGCTTTAAAACTATAAGCGTCCATGATCGCAGAGACGTAGCGAAAAGGATTGGTGCCTGTTTTAATTGTCTCAAATACAGACTTGGGGAAGAAGAAGGCCATCTGGTAACTAACTGCACGAAGAAAGATAAAAGGTGTCGAAAATGCGGTTCTCTGCATCATACGTTTTTATGTTCATCTGCAAGCTACTCGCCCACTATGAAAACTACTCATAGCCCCTCGGATTCAACAGGGGAACAACGACGGGAGGAATCGTCCCACGCATCCTCCTCCACCCCCCACGTTTCATTGCTGACAACCGATAGTGAACACTCACCAGGAAATAATTTGGATTCTGTTGTTTTATTAGGGACTGCCCTAATCAACGTTCTGGGAAGGGATGGTGTTTATTACACTCTTAACGCGGTGGTTGACAGTGCCGCCTCGTCATCCTTCATATCGCTCGCAGCAGCTCAAAAAATTGGTCTAAAGTACTTCCGCACCTCTGAGGCAGTCTCAGGAATCGGAGGGAGCCAAGCAGGGGTGAAAGGTCAAACAACCTGTTACGTTCGCCCTAGACACCAAGACTCACCAGTGTTGCCAACTGACACAGTTGTAATAAAGAAAATCGTTGATTTGCCTAAGTCATTCATTCCGAAAAATGTTAGAGCTCACTTTTCAGATTTACCATTGGTTGACCCTCACTTCGGCACTGCTCGCGAAGTTGAGTTTCTGATCGGAGCTGATATTTTTCCACTGATATTCATGGGAGAAAAGAATTTTGGCCCATCCGGTACGCTGACAGCTTTGAACAGTGTATTTGGATACATAATAATGGGTAAAATTGACAACCATGGTAACCAATTTCCGCGGCATGTAGCACTCATTGCTGCACCCTCAAATGGTTCCTCTATAGATACTCTATTTAGAAAACAACTTACGGAAGATGAAGGACATAAATATCCTGCAGCAGCCACTGCGCTCTGCCGGGACATGTTTGTTGACGACTTGGCAACTGGGGCTCCGGATACGCAACGTTTGTTGGAGCTGCAGCATCAAACAATTGGACTTCTTAAGGAAGGATGTTTTGAAACTCAAAAGTGGGCCAGTAATTGCCCGGAAATTTTGCTCGAGGTACCACCTGAGCACCGCACCACTTCATTAGATTTAACTGATGAATACGCGGCAAATTCAAAAATTTTAGGAATACACTGGAACGCCCGATCGGACTACTTTTATTACGTGGCTGAAACAGGACCTCATGAAATGACGAAACGGAATATTTTGTCTCAGGTAGCTCGAATTTTGACTCGAATGGTTTAATATCGCCCATAGTTTTTAAGGCAAAAACTATAATCCAAAAATTGTGGATTGAAGGACTTGATTGGGATGACCAGCTACCTGACGAATTGGAATTGGAATGGACTAAATTTTACGAAAAATTGCCTTCGATTAGCCTCTTGAAAATAGACCGATGCGCTACGGCGCCGAACGCAACGTCTCATAGCCTAGTCGGCTTTTCAGACGCTTCACAACTTGGATACGCTGCAGCCGTGTATGTACGGTCTGAAGCCGAAAATGCAGTAAAAGTTTCTTTACTGGCATCTAAATCACGAATTGCACCTTGCAAAACAATTTCTACACCTAGACTTGAATTATGTGGAGCACAATTATTGTCTACTCTCCTAATCCACTTGAAGGAGCAACAAAGTGACGTCATGGAAATTCATAATATTGTTGCTTTCACTGATTCTCAGGTAATTCTAGACTGGATCAAAACTTTGCCTTGCAAATTGAAGACTTTCGAAGCTAACTGAGTTACCTACATACTCGAGAGGCTCGAACCATCCGCATGGAAATATGTTCCTTCGGAGTTGAATCCCAGTGACTTAGGGTCACGTGGGTGTTTTCCCGACGAATTAGTAAACCATCCGATGTGGTTTACGGGACCGCCATTTTTATCTGACCCCATAGATGAATGGCCGAATTTCGCTGAGACCACCAGAAAAAATTCTAGCGTGGTTTTGATAGTGATTGATCCCACTTTTTGGGATCAGTTGATACCGCAATATTCGAACTTGAATAAATTGCAGCGTGTCACTGCATGGATTTTGCGTGTTGCGCAGAACTGGAAACGAACTCCTGACAACCGGGTAAAATCACCGACCTTATCCGTATCAGAACTTAGAGACAGCCTTACATGCCTCATCAAAGCAGTGCAGAGCAAACACTTTGCTGCTGAATTTAAGCTTTTGAGGCAGGGCCAAATTCCGAAAAATTGGGGACACCTGCAACCGTTTGTTGACACTGATGGATTGCTCAGGGTCGGGGGCAGGTTGCGCAACACGAAGTTACCGGAAAGCACTAAATATCCGATTTTATTACCAAAAAGTGACCATTTGGTAAATTTACTCATCGATTGTTTTCATCAACGATACTTACATGCTGGACCAAGATTACTACAATCTCTCTTAGCTCGCCAATTTTGGATTCCCTGCGCTCGCCAAATCATTCGCTCAAGACTGAGCAAATGCCTTCCTTGTTTTCAAGTTAAACCTTCGAATGCCGCGCCCTTGATGGGAGACTTGCCCTCCTGTCGAGTCAACCCTACAAAGGTATTTTTAGAAGTGGGTCTGGATTTTGGAGGCCCTTTTGAACTCAAAGAACACAATCGCCGAAATCCGAGAAAAATTAAGGGTTATTTGTGTTTATTTTTATGCATGGCGACAAAGGCTGTTCATTTAGAAGTAGTCAGTGACCTCACTGTTGAAGCCTTTCTCGCGTCATTAGACCGGTTTGTTAGCCGCCGTGGCTTATGCAAAAAACTTTTTAGCGACAACGCTACAAATTTCACCGGGGCTAAACGCCATCTCTCCGAACTTTATATATTTTTACTCTCTCAAAAACAAACACTGGATGATCAACTGGCAAGCAGACAAATTGAATGGAATTTCATCCCCCCTTCTGCTCCCTATTTTGGAGTTGTTTGGGAATCAGGAATCGCTTCAGCGAAATACCACTTAAAACGAATAATTGGCGACCAATCTTTGACATTTGAACAATTGACTACAGTTTTCGCAAAAATTGAAGCCATCTTAAATTGCAGACCTCTATGTCGTCTATCAACTGACCCTACTGAAGTTGACATCCTGACTCCAGGACACTTTTTGGTAGGTGGGCCGTTAGTTGCGGTACCCAAATACGATTTTGCTGAAGTGGCTACTAACCGGCTGTCCCGCTGGCAGCTGCTCCAGAAAATCACTCAGCAATTTTGGAAAATATGGAGTAGAGATTATCTTCACACCTTGATTCAACGGACAAAATAGCAACAACGCCAAGAAGATTTGAAAATTGGGGCAGTGGTCCTCTTGGCAGACAACGATACCGCCCCAACTCACTGGAAAAAAGGAATCATCGATGCCGTTCACCCCGGAAAGGATGGTGTAGTGAGAGTGGTGACAGTCCGCACGGCTCGAGGAACATACAAGCGTCCGGCCGTAAAAATTTACCCTCTTCCCAGTCATTAAATCTGCACCCTCCGCTTCGACCACTTGACACCCTCACCTTGACGGGCCCACATGTGCCCTCAAGGCTTCATCATTCAAAGACACTCATAACTTGAAAGGCTCATTTGCAGCTCAAGAAACCGCAATATGAAACACGGCTCTGAACAGTTCAATTTTATGTTTTTCTCCTCTTTTTGATTTTATTACTTGCTTTCTTCCCTAAAATTTTGAGCAGCTCTTCTGAAGCCTCAGTTCTCGCTCATCGTTTGTGAGAGTAGGTCTCACTTCATGTGTCCATCGAAATAGAAGATTCAGATTGGTATCAAAATTACACATTGCGCAACATGCGTGGTGATTTTGACATAAAATACTTGTAAATACGTAAGTTTCATTATAGGGTTCGATGATCAGTGTTTTTAGTTTTATTGCGAGCCCTCGAGTAGTTCGCGGTCGGGGGTAGGGTAGACTGGGGTTAAGTGGGCACCATTTTGTTTGAAAAATCATAAAACAAATTTGGTGATAGAGTTAATCTTTAAAGTACAATGTCTTCAGTATAATGTAAGGTATCTGCAAAAAATAGTATGTTTCATTTTTTAAATTTCTTCATGGTCAAAATTTAGATTTTGTAAAAAATGGGAAAGTGCTCAGTTAACCCCGTGGGGTGGGTTAACTGGGCACTGGGGGTGGGTTGACTGGACACTAAGATGAAAAAGCATACTTTTGAAAGAGGAAACTTTTATTAAGTCAAATGAACAAGTGGAAAAGTCTTAAAAATTAAAAAAATACATCTGAGGATGATTTTTTGTTTGTCTTAATACTTATATTATGTACATTTTCACTAAGAGATACGGAAAACTTATTTCAATGACTTCTGAATAGGTCCCATGGTTGGTTGTCCTTTTTCTCTTTTTAGTTGTTAAAATACTGCAATTAAAATCAAAAAACAAGTTTTAGTGAATGTTTTGGCTAACTTGTAATCTATGGGGTTAACTGGGAATGCCCTCTTTAATCCCATTTGGTAGTGTTCAGTTAACCCCATTTGGTAGTGTTCAGTTAACCCCATTTCGGAATTTCAGAGAAAAAAAATCATAAATAGTACTCAATTGGAATAATTACCAAAGTAATCACTGGAAATAGTACATAAAACTATAGATGAAACAATAAAGCACTTACCAAAGCCTTCCTCAAAAGCTAGATATGTCATTTGGGCTTCAGTTCTCAGCACCGGGAATTTACTTTTCGCCCCACGAAACACATTTGTAAACATAACTTCAAAAAAAACAAAGATTATCAACTCAGCGCAAGGTACACTAGTAAGGGTCTATAAACTGATGAAATTGACGCGTAGTTGGTTTTGAGTTTGCCCACCAGGTGGCAGCTAGGTCGAGTGTTCAGTTAACCCGCCGTGCCCACTTAACCCCAGGCTACCCTATGTTGGATTTCAATCGACCTACTTATGCTATTTTAAGTTTTTATCTACTTTCAGACATGTACAATTTTATTCATTAATCATAAGATATTCATTTAGTTTCATTTTTGTATGTTCACCACTCTGCGGTGCTATTTGACTTATTCCTATGTAGACCCCCCTCGCCCTCCGTCTCCTGACGGCTCCTTGGCCAGGGCCACCCCTCGTTGTATCATCCCCACCCCAGCGCCCCAGATGCGCGCGCATTCCTCGCCGAGTGGAGGACCCCGTCTTCCCAGCGGCCGCTCTTGCCGCTGCAATTCAGTCCCGTTTTCAGAGCCCCCTGCGCTTCTCTTGAATTCGAGGCTCCTGGCCTGTCCAGTAGACAAATCCTATTTATTTGCCGCAGAGTGGGTACAACTGATGTACGTCACTTCGACAAATAAATCTAAAGTGTGAAACATTACCCCGTGTTACATCACTTACCCTGACTTCTGACTCCACTGAGTCAATTGAGCAGCTACCGGCACGAACTTGGCACATCTTTTAGGTGCGCTGAAAAGTTCGCGCTGACTCTCAACTTGGCTCACGGCACGGACTGGGCACGTCGCTGACGCGCTTAACAGTTCGCGCTGATTGACACTTTTCTCTATTTTTAGTGTATTTTCCGAAGAAATACACTATTGCATTCTCCTATGATGTCGGACCCAGACCCGAGACCTTGTGAAGAGCACCGATCACGGGTCGTAGATCACGAAAATATATGCCATTCAAATTCATGTGTATATATATATATAATAAAGCGAACTTCATGAGTTGTATAAACTCATGAAACTCATGTTGTTATACAACTCATGAAGTTCGCTTTATTAAACATAAAATAACCATGAAATTAGAATTATATATATACCCGCCCGGCGGGTACGTGTAATTTTGTCAGCTTGCATGAACGTAATTGGCAATGTGTCTGCAATGTGTTTTAGCAACATAATGGGAATGTTGCAAAAATACGTTTTAGCAACATAATGGGAATGTTGCAAAAATACGGTGAAAAAATTTCGGTGATTTATTATAGGAGTACTCTGCATTTTTACTCCTAGAATTCAATGTGGACCGCAGAGGAGCGTTTCTTAGGCACCCGAAATTCACTTTAAGTCCGATAGTAGCCGCGCTCCGCCCGGGTTCCCAAGCGGGCTCCCATCGAAGTACTAACTACGCCCGACGTTGCTAAACTTCAGTGATCGCCCGTGTGTCGCTGCCACTCAGCTACGGACGCTCGCGTGATAGAGTTTGGTTATTTAGCATTAATAAACACCCCTAGATCTGGTTCAATGATAGAAAGCAATGATATTCTTGCATTTCTGTGCATAATTCTACAACGAAGGATACTGAACATAATATTAGGATCAAGTTTTTAAAAAAAAGGAGTATGGAAAAAAAATTAAAAAAGAATTGAATAAATATATTCATTTTATATAAATAAAATTATTATTATTTTAATTATTTATTTAATTATATTATAATAATTTATTATTATTATAATTATTTGGTATTTTTATTTTGTATTAAATTATTTTCTAATTATTTATATTTATTTTTTTTATTTTATTTTTTATTTTTAAATTATTTTTTTATTTTTTTTAATTTTATCTTCATTTGTATATTTTTATTGTTAATTTTTTTATTTTTTGAATTATCTATCAATTAATTTTTGTTTATTTTTGTATACACATATACATATTTTTGCGACATTGTATGAGGGCGCATTCTCTTATATTGATTGGAGAAAATCATCTGTTGAGAAACAACAGAAAGGAGAACACCTGAAACAGTGGAAAAGTGTCCCCTCCGATTTGCAGCACAGCATCTGCTTGACCTCATATCTGATTTCTACGACCAAAATTACACAGGGATTGATACCTCACATGACACTATATGCGCATTTTAAAAAACCGAAATCCCAGAGGCCTTATTATGGCCGCCATTTTGAAATTTAGGCATTTTGGGGGGTGTTCCGAGGTCGGACCGTGGTAAACTTTTGGTATGTTCTTCAGGAGGACCTACTGATGACGTTTACATAGGAAAAGTTTGTTCAGCAATTTGTTCCGGGTCAAATCGTGTTTCTCCCTGACTAATAATGTTTAACAACGTTGTCACAATATATCTAAGAAATATTTATTGAAACGTTTTTTAATAATGTTCCAGAAACATTTCTAAAAACGTTTTGAAAATATTGTCTAAAATATAATGTCAGGCAACATTGCTGAAACATTGCTTAAACGTTGCTGCTTTACCTTTACAAAGCAATATCATCAAAAATGTTGCCTTGCAACGTTGCGGCAACGTACACATTGCTCCCTTGCCGGGCGGGTATATATATGTATGTATGTATGTATTTCCGCCTTTTTAAGAGTTTTCGATTTTTGAGTAGTTATACCTTTCTTACGTTGAAAGATATTTTGACCAATTTTTTTGCATTTAGTAGAGACTCATTTGAATTACTATTCTGCGGAAAAAAATTGAAATTTGAGGCAATAGATTTTGAGGGGTGGGGCTTGAAAGTGGGGGGAGGTCAAATCTTGTCCACTCGATAACTCGAGCGAAAATGAATATTTTGAGCTGAAATTTTTACGGGTGGTAGTTCTCCCCTAGGACTGATTTGGTATTGAATTTGAGCTAAATCGGCCGATCCGACGAAATTTTCCGGTTAGCGGTCAAAAAGTCATCTGGCAAAGGCACCTCAGCGATACTTAGAATATTTTCTTGTCAGGGGAAATTCCGTTAAAAACACCTCAGCGATACTTAGAAGATTTTCCAGTCAGGGTCCAACCGCCGAATAACGTTTTATCTGGCGGTACCGTACCGCCGAATAACGCCATCCAAAAAAAAACTAACTCTTCTAACACGAGTCTTTCTTTCAAAAAGTTGTTGTATAAGTTTCATGAGACATTTTACTTCTAAAATATATAATACTCTAAATGGTTATTCTAATTGTTACTTCTCCACGATTTTTCACGAGTTTTTGAAAAATGTTTTATGTATTAAATAACAGAAAATTTACGTTTTCAGTTTTTTTATGTGATAAGAAATGGGTCAGTCACGTCAGTCACAGAACTGTGTGTTGATGCTTGATTCTTGTAGATCAGCTCAAACGTTTAGTTCTAGCGAACGCAAGGTCGATAGACCTAGGTCAGTCCAATAACAAGATGTTCTTTAGAATCTTCCAATCTGGCGAAAATTCCATCGATTGGCTTTTCCATTACTTTCTAAACGTTTCCCAATTTGCACTGCTTTGTTGCATAGGTCCCCCTCGATCTGCATAAGACCAATGTGATCGGATCGAGGAAACAGTAGAATGGGACAAGCAGATGGGGCAATCTTTTGGCAACGTGGACAGCCCTCGTCGCCGTTATGCAAAGATTACCACGCTCAACTTTCCTTATGGACTGACCTGGGTCCATCGACCTCAAGCGAACGGATTCGGTTCACTTGTATACCTTTCTTGAAAAGCTGGCAACTGCTTCTTGAACATTCTACGTGAGCATTTTACACAATCGAAGTATGTACTGCCGATATAACAGCAAGGCACGAAGTGTTAACATTTTTTCGAACGCGACTCCAGGATTGTTTTGGTGCGTGAACTTCACTCCGTCCGCTACAATGCACTTTTAAGGCCTTCGACGCACCTGAACTTCGGACCTCGGTTCGGGTCGAGATCCACTTCAGGTTTGCCTCGGCTAAAAAGAGTTAATGAGCGAGGCACGTCTGCCTCCCACGGATGTTCGGAGGCAACTGGTATCTGCTCAGGTTTGAAAGGATCAGATACCCAAGCATGTGGTATCACCACATATTGAAGAGGCAACATGCAGTACTATTCACCTTCTCAACTTAATCCATTTTAATACACAATTTTTCCACACCACTGTCCTCCTCACACTCGCCAATTTTAATTCCTATTTTTGTGCAGTTTGACACAATATCCACGGTTACACTCCTATTATTATACTACCTACTATCCATATTTCTTTATTTTCAAATATAGTTGGTCAATATTCTCATTAATTTGTTTTCTCTGTAATTGTGGATAGGTGCCTGTGAAGGAACATTAACCTGTTCAACTTGTCATGTCATTCTAAGGAAAGAGGACTATGACAGGTTACCAGAAAAGCCAACTGACGAAGAATTAGACATGTTAGACTTAGCGCATGGCCTTTGTGATACGTGAGTATTTCCTTCAATGTTTTCCCCTCAGTAGTTTATATGGAATCATTTCCAGTACCCGCCCAATCCATTGAAGACGACACCAGTAAAATGGGGGAGTGACCTGATCTTATATAACTCTCTGCACCACCACTCAATTGGGGCGTGATTATACTCTCGATCACTTCTAGTATGTGTGTCTGCCAACACCACTTATCAGCAAAAAATTGAAGCAACATAAAATTCTTACTGATCATCCATGATTGCTGAACATGTGTACTATATTATTAACGCTCATTATATTGGAACAAATTCCGAGAGTAAAATTAGGTATGTATGGAACGACGTTTGTAAGAAAACCTAACAAGGTTAGTGAGAAATTTTTTCAAGGTAAGTAGTTAACATTTTTTTTCAGGTAGTGAGAACCAATTTTAGGAGAGACAAGAAAAAGCAATTTTGTATCCCGCAGAATATATTTTACCGGGTGGCTAGCGACCAAGAAAACTGGGAGAAGTCTGGGAATGCAGCTCGACCAAATAAAATGAGGGAAAAGTCAGGGAATGTCGTCAACGATCAGGGAATTTTTTGTGGAGACGGGTTCCTCGTGAGAATCGGGTCCATGGCGGGCTAGCTGATCGCGTTGTTATGCCAACGTTTTAACCACATCAATTAAGTGCCTTTACGTTATCGTAAAAAAGTCAGGGAATTTCATTAGAAGTCAGAGAAAAGTCAAGGAATGATCAAATGAAATTTGCTAGCTACCCTGTTTCATTCGCCCTCAAATAAGATTTACAGATTGCTGCGGAAAAAAAAATGAAAAGTGTCGTATCCTTTTTTTCTTGTTGCCTTCGATGTCACGACTGTAGCGCTGCGCATCCAAGGATTCTGGTTTTTCTTGCTACCCACTGCTTTCGAAATTTCTTCCGAAGTAGTGAGAAGCACTAGTTTTATCAATAGAAGCTTTGAACATTTACAAATCAACAAAATTGGATTTCGATCACCATAGAGTTTCTGTAGTTTTTAGCATTTTTACTTTCAATGAGGATAACTAAACCAGTAGTTTTTAGTTCTCATAATTTTTTGATCGGATCTTGAACGTCATTTCATGCACTGTTTCACTTCACCTACTTTTATCCCTATTTTAATGAAAAAATACTCTAAACGGTAATTCTTTCACCAATGGTTCAGTTAGCCCTAATTTAAGCTGGGCTTTCAAGAATTGCTGGTAAAAAGTAGAATAGGTGATAAAAGCGCTAATGGATGAACAAAAAGGTATGTATGCATAGGCGTCTAGTTTGATCAGAAATAATATCTAAAAGATTCCAAACGGAGTTACTCTCAGGAATCAAAAATCTTAAAATAAAAACATGGTTTTTTTACGATTTCCTACTAGAAGTTGAACCAAAAATCGGTGTAGATATCAACAATGAGTAATCCCATCACGTGACCCTGTTGTTGTTTTTGTATTTCTTCTAGCTGCTAATCAATTTTGTTCTCTTAATTCTGCAAGAATTTCCACCTGTGGTTTGGATGGATAGCCCTGCAATTAACCTAATCCAACCTTTCCCCACTCACCATCAGTTGAGCAAATTTACCCCAAGATGGGGCAATATTTCAAGCACAGCTAACCGTAATTTTTGACAGTTCCAGGTTAGGTTGTCAGATAATTTTGACTGAAGATTTAAGTGGACTAGAGGTGCAAATTCCAGCAACTGTGAATGATGCCAGAGAACGGTGATGTTTTTTTTATTCCGAGCAATGTGAGCTCATTTCACTCTGGGATTTCACACATTTTTAATTGTGAAATCAAGATGTTAGATAGGGCCGTTTTAGTTATTAAATCTGCGTATACATCCAGTGCACGCTCGTTAATTCGAAATTCAAGAGACCGTGGCTTGAGTTCGAATTGGCGAGATTTCATATTACAGAGAGTGGTGACAAAAAATGTCGAAATACAGAGATTTTTTAATTAGCTCTTATCGTTCAAAGTGGTGATGATGGTTGTCATTTTTTTTGCAGAATTAAGAGGAGGAAGATGGAAAACGACCATTGTTAATGAAAGTAGAAAATTTGTATGTCCAAGATATAGATTTGTAAGTACAAATCACAAGGTTTGTAAACAAGCTTGATGAGAAAGCAAAATCGGGAAATCTACTTCGGAAAGAAGTCCGTTATCTTGGACTGTGAGAGGGCATCATACCGCGCGGTCCATGTTGCTTTTAACGCGGTTGTTGCATGATTTTTTTTTAATTTAAGTTCTACAAGTTGGAGGTATACTGATTGTCAAGGTATTTTTTTACAAATTTTCTGATAATTGGAACTTGGAGAAAAAGCCCTGAAAAGTCAGGAACGATTTGAAACGTGGTTCCATCCCGCGCCTCGAAATCACGTGACTCTGACGTCACAACGCACGGCCCTCGGGTTTTTGCTATCTAAACTGCTTGCTAATATGAGTATTGTAAAAATTCAGGAAAAATCGAGTTATCCGACCAAACCCGCTTCGTTTATCTTCATGGATACCTAAAGGTAAGATAAATAATTTTCAGACTCAGTTTTTGGCTCTTTACAATGATTACTAGGTCGAAAAGTAAGTTAAAATTACTCCTTTCCCCTTTTCTTCACGGAGCGTAGGAGCCGAGCGAAGGGCGGTGCGTAGCAAGCAGCAACCGGCCCTGCTCGGGTTCTTCCGGCAGCTCCGCTCATCATCGAAGCCACTCAGTGCTCGAGATGAGCTCAACCTAACGTGACCACGACTAGATAAACGCGCGGTCAAGATGTGGGTGTGGGTAATGGCGGTGAGGAGAGACTCTCATGCGGTGTGATGCGTAGTTTGACCGACTGTACAGCAGCCAATGAAAAGTCTCTATTTCCAACTTGAATTTGATGGAACTTCAGCGAGCTTTTTCGGGCTTTAGAACTCGATTCTTGATTTTTTAACGTTACCATTGTTTTTGTCATGTAAAGTTTTATAGCTATGAAATTTTTATTCTCAAATCCCTCACCCATCCAACAACCCCATTGTTGATAATGCTCTGAGAACGTTGTCACTGATATCAAGCTGTTCGAGATAGCATCGTTAAATTTCCAAAAGAGCAGCTGCTTGCTTTAAAGTAACAGCATGTTGCAGCGTTGTCGTTTTTTCCACCGTGTCGTCTTCATCTTTTTGGATGTCTCAACCCTATCGATTATTTCAGCATCTGTGAGAGTGCCGCACACATTAAGATTATCGTCTGATGGAACGAATTCCTCATGCAAACGAGATGAGGAGTTGTTTGACAGACTAGAGATGGTTCCATTCGACTAGAATTGAGGGGAGCCAAGTTAAAGACAGCTGAGTAATCGGAACACCATCCCTTTTTTTGCCGATGAGGAAGCAGAAGTTTTATTTTTTTTCCTTCTGAGATTCTTATGGTTTGAAGAGGGCGGAAAATTCTCATTCACAAATCCACAATGCCCGAAACTGTTTTTAATCGTTCCCTCCGTAAGATTTGCTCACGCCTCATGGGTCATCCTCATGGCAATCAAAATGACTTCTGACGGGTCTATATCCTCTTGAATACACTCAAGCACCAATCTCACAATTTTAGTGCAGTAGAACATCTCCAACTTCTTGATTATGCCTTGGTCTGAAGGCTGAAGCTTACTACTTGTCTGTGCAGGGAGAAGTTCAACTTCGATATGTTTTAACGTGGATGAGACAGTATGAGCCGTGCAACTGTCTAAACAGTAGCATTTTACGGCCCTGTTCTATCATTTCAGCATCCATATGGAAAGCACATGGAATATAGATTTGTAATTTAAAATAGAAAGCTAGCCATCATTTGCCCAAAAATTAACAATGCCCACCCAACTCTGATGCGTGCACTATTGTTTTTCCAGAAACCCTCCCACAGGAACGTTCTTGACTCGGCATTGTTTAAACCCTTTCATTAGCTTTTCCTCGAGCTGTGGTAATTCGCAGTCTTTGGACCATTACCGTTTTGTTGCACCACTATGGCACTAAAGTTTTATTTTTTCTTCGGTTTTCATACTTTTTGATGAAGTTGACGGTGGTTTATTGTACGATTTCGCGATTTCATCTTTTTTTGGCCATCTTTAACGGCCTGTAAAACTTCTTCTTTTTTATGTAAAAGTTAACTTGCCGTGCTTACTTAATAAATTAAACTCGCACCACCAGTGTATCGCTCACGCACTGATTACATAGCTCCTCTTTTGAGGCGTGCGCCTGGATAATCAAGCAGCTGTTCAGACATTCCTTTGCCATCCACCAAGAGGACTTGGAATGGGTCTATTGCTCACAAGAGATACAGTCAAATAAATTTACTCTTTACGTGTAAAATTGCACGTAAATAACGTTGAGTACGTCAAAAAAGTCTGAAACCCATTCCTTAGTGCACAATCTGCATTGTTTGTAATACGCTTTCTTATGTTTCCTACGTCTGTGGACAGTTTTTCTCAGTCACCGCCGACCAGGTTTGCACAGGCTGAGGAGTAAGATAAACTAATGTGAGTAATCAAATGAGTTAACTTACATTTCTATCTTATGATTTCAATTGTTCTCAAGCGTTTTTTTTTTTTTTTTTTTTTTCCTTTGACTTTCTTTATTTTGCAAAAACAAAAGCTGTAAATCAATTCAAATCTTCCGCACGGAGAGTTCTTAACAGTTCACGAGATTGTTTGTTTATTTAGGTTATGTCTCTCTCGAGACAAACCTACCTGCCTTCAAGAGAAACCGCCTGCATACGCGGTAAATTTGAATAGACGTGTTCAAGCAATGCGGATTTCAGACTATTTTGATGTGCTCAATGTCATTTTAAGCGAATTCATCGTTTAAAAATGAACTCATTTGGCTGTATCTTTTGCAAGTAACAGACCCCGACTACAGCGTCCAGTGTGTCCATTCGAATTACAGAGCATGTGGAGCTGAATACTTCGATGTACAGAGCTGATTTACAAGCCGGCTTTGAGCTCAACATTTTGAAAGAACGAGGGGACCAAATACGTTGAAACTCTTTGAATTAGAGAGTTTTTTCAAAGATATTATCCTTGCCTTCGGATTATAACACTTTTCAGATTGAAAAGCTTCGAATGAGCGAACGTGCACTGTACTAACTCTCCGTGTAGCGCAAGTTTTGACACAATACATTGGTTTCATTCAGTGTATGTCGGCTTCCATTTACTATCATCAAGAACGAAGAGGGGCTCTCAAATAAATATTTCAATTCTTTGCTACTGATATGATCCAGGGTCTCTGTTATATACTGCAAGTTTATGCACTCTGCGATAATGAGTGCAAGCGCAATTCAATTTGCCAACAATTTCAAGATTTTCGAAACACCTATGTAGCCCATAGTTCTTGAATCAGATGGGAAGATTTATCTTAAAGGCGCTCAGAAAAGCAACAAAGATTCGTAGCATTTTCAAATGTTTAATTATCAATTTTCCCCATGCTCCTTGCCGAAGCATGAACAAGAAGAGTAATTTCTCCCAAAAGTCTATGGAAATTTTATTCTCTTAATGTCTTTGAATCACATCAAAAACCTACTTTTTTTTTAGTTGCAAATTTTTATTTTAGAAGAACACTCTCTCGTTTATTCATGCTTTTAAACCTGAATGGTTCTCTTCTTTTGGAATGGAATCACTGGATGTAATAGAATTTTAGTTAGAACTTCTAACCCGAACTTGGGTGGTTGTCAACTGATACATGAAGTACTATATCATTTTGCTGGAAGCCAAAAGATAGTATTCCTAATGTTTCTCCATTTCTTAGCAGTTCCTCTTGTTTTTATCCCGTATGCACCATCATAGTGGTTATTGCTGTAATTATTCTGTTATTTAGGTATGTTCTTTGTGTTACTTACTTATTTTATCTTACAAAATCGTTTTTTAATACTTGTTTTTTTATCCTGACGCTGGATTCTGCAATTTTTCTGTTATGCTCTTTTCGATTTGTTTCACTTGTTGTTTAAGTGTACCTATTGTCTCGTTTTTAAAATCATCATCATTCCAAATTAAACAGAATTCATTTATTTCAGCACAACTTGAAGAAATCTTTTGAATAACCACTAATAACAGAAATGACAAATGTGAGAAAAACGCTAATGAAAGATTCAAATGCGTGCAGTTGTAACAATAATTGTTGAATTCTTAAAATTTAAAACCAGCATTGTAGGACATACTCTCTTTGATCGATTCGCCCATAGAAAATTTTTTAAATTAAATACCCAGCACTCTGTAGTAGTGAAAGCTGCAAGCACAGTTGCACAAGATTTTTACGGAGAACCACACTGTACCTCAAAAAGTCACCGAAATTATTGTATCTAGCACAAATTCGACTAGAAATACACTACGACTCGACTAGAACACTAGTGCATTCTAGTGGAGAAACATTTTCGCGAATTATTTAAGCAGCAAAGAAATTAACTGTTCAAAATCACACCTATAAAAGAGTCACACTTCCCCGCACAACAGAAGTAACTATCATTTAATGCGCAAAAATGAGCTCGAAAAATGTCCTTCCAACTAGAGTAGCTACTCTAGCCACTGTCTTTAGACATTTCTTTTTGTCAATATTATCGTGCAATATTTACAGGCAGTTTAGAAAAAGACTGTAGGGTCACTCCACGTCAACTGTGCCAAGCTCGGAACCCGACCCCCTCCGATTTGGCTGAAAATTGGTATACGGGGTCGTTACATCATTCTAAGAAACCGAATTGAAAGGTTTTCCCTTCCGACGCCCCGTTCGCGAGATATTGACCCCCAAAGATTGGGTGAATTTTAGCGATATTCAAAAAAGCCCGTTTTAGCGATTCTCATTTTCTCGACTTCCCTCTCTTTGACTCTCCATAGCGAGACTCTGTATCAACCCATCATACTTTGAAAGAGTGTCCGAACCAATTTTTCATGTAGATTTTGAATATGTCATCGAAATTGAGCTAAAAATTACTTAAATGGCCGTAATTTAGGGTTTTTTAAAATTTACTATTTTTTCGCCATTCAATGTTCAAACTGAATTATCTAAAAAACTGTCTCTCCGATTTTAGATTTTTTTTTCATACTTCAAACTTAAGATATATACTTTTGGTTGATATACTTTTTTCAATTGCTATCGAACGGTTAAGGGCCTAAAAAAATTCAAATTGGCCCAAGAAGGTCAAATATTGGTAAAAAAAGACGATTTTTTACATGTTAATTTAAATATTTCAATGATGTTTCTCCATATTTTATTCTACAAATATGAGGTTATCTTTAGCATCAACCCAAAGCAGCAAAGAATCAATAAATGATGAATAAAAAGAAATAATACAGTTCACTTACAATTAATTCCCAGTGTGATTGGCAAATTTTAATTATATCAAAAATCAAAGTACAACAAGTCAATCAAAGTACACAGGACACATTAAAGATAAAAGGTCATCTCGGACATACTACTCAACTGTTACTCTATCCAAAACTTACTGTAACCATGGCGAACATGCCGCCCCCTTTGAATCCTCTACGGATTCAACCAGTTACGGAATCCTGGCTAATCTTGACACTCCTCTAGTTATAAGTCCTTTACTGGTCCGGATGGTTGCCACACGGACCTTCCCATCGGCACCTGCGTGCGTAGTCTCCACCCTTCCAATGGACCACTGAGATGGTAGGAGCCTCGGTTCTTGGATGGCTACTAGTGTCCCTGGAGTCAAATTCTCTTCCGGACATTTCCACTTAGCTCTTTGATGTAGTTGAGCTAGATATTCTCTTTGCCATCGATTCCAGAAATTGCACAATCTCTCTTGTTGAAGTAAGAATTTAGACTTCAGGGTGCACCTCTCGTCTATATCAGGTTTCAAAGCGACACTCAATGGCAATAAAGTTAATGGTTCTCCAATTAAAAAATGACCAGGAGTCAACGGCTCCAAGTCTTGAGGGTCATTACTGAGGGCGGTCAATGGACGTGAATTCAAACATGCTTCTACTTGTAGTAATACAGTCTCAAACTCAGCATAAGTAAAGACTGCACTTGAGAATACCCTGCGCAGGTGGAACTTGCAGGACTTGATTGCCGCTTCCCACAATCCGGCAAATGTAGGTGATCTAGGGGGGATATAATGCCAACTGATTCGATGTTTCGCCAAAAATTCTTGAAACTTTGAATCCTCCGGCAACATTGAAAACATTCTTTTTAATGCTTTATCACAACCTTTGAATGTTTTTGCGTTATCCGAATGAAGGTCCTTACAAATTCCCCTTCTTGAAACAAATCTGCAAAGAGCTTCGATGAAAGTGGGAGTTGACAGATCACTCATTAATTCGCAATGGATAGCTTTAGTTGAGAAGCAAACAAAGAGAGCTATGTAACCCTTTGTTCTTGCTTTACTATTTTTAGATGGTCGAATAATCACAGGACCGCAGAAATCTACTCCTGTAACTGAAAAGGGTCGAGATGGAGACACTCGTGATTTAGGTAGAGGTGCCATAATCTGATTCGATAATTTTGGACGAGCGCGCCAGCAACCAAAACACTTTTTTATTGTCATATGCGCAAGTTTCCTTCCATTCAAGGGCCAAAATTTTTGCCGTAAAGAAGCCAGAAGCGACATCGCACCAATATGAAACATACGTCGATGCTCAAAATCATAAATGAGGCGAGTCAAGTTGTGCTGATCATGTAAGATTTTTGGGAATTTTTGATCATAAGAAATATCAGCATTTGCCAGACGACCACCTACACGTAAATTTCCATCCAAATCTATGAACGGGTTCAATGATAAAATTCGACTCCGTTTGTCAACCGAATTTTTCGATTTCAAGTCCATCAATTCATTTTGGAAAGCTTCATGTTGAGAAATTCGAATTAGAGTGTCTAAAGAATTATTTAATTCTTCACTACTTAACTCTCCCTTTAACCGTGATTTTTTAGGTCTCCGACAATTCACTAAAAATCTTTGCACGTATGCGAATACTCTTTGAAGTTTATCTAGAGTAGAATACTTAGAGAATAAATCCCATGAATCAGGTACAACAAAGAGGGAGACGCAATTCTGTTTTCTTTCTTTTAAAGCTTCTTCTGGCGTTACCGACTTTTTCGAATAAATCTGAGAAATATCTTCAGGGTTTTGCAAAATTTCAGGCCCGTGCCACCAAAGTCTCGATTCCATTAATTGTGTGGCCTGAACCCCTCGTGAAATCAAATCGGCTGGATTATTCTCAGACTCAATATGCCGCCATTTTGAATCAGACGTCAGTGTCTGAATTTCCGCAACTCTGTTGGCCACAAACGTCTTCCATCGAGAAGGAGGTTCGTGAATCCAACTCAATGCAATTTCAGAATCAGTCCATAACCCAATCGATGCAAAGTCTAAACACATCGCAGTTTTCACTTGAGTTAGCAACCTAGATAAAATTACAGTTGCACATAATTCCAACCTTGGAATGGATATTGAGTGAAGAGGTGCAACTCTCGACTTTGCAATTAAAAGATGACATGAGATTTCATTTTTTGCATTAATTGAACGCAAATAGATGCATGCACCATATGCTTTTTCCGAAGCATCTGCGAAACCATGTAACTCAATTCGCGTAGGATTCGGCAACATGGCAAATCTTGATATTTCTAGATCAGAGATGGATAAAATATCAGCACAAAAATTTCTCCAATTCGTATAAATTAGTTGAGGGACCGACTCATCCCATTGCAGTTTGAATTTCCATAATTCTTGGATTATAAGTTTGGCTTTTACAATTAGCGGACCAATAAAACCCAAAGGGTCAAACAATTTTGATGTCTCTGATAGAATTGACCGTTTAGTGACTTTTGAACTTGATCCATCACCAAACAGAGAAATATTTGACACACTGAACTTGTCTGATGAAGGTGCATATTTTAAGCCCAGCGTTTTCACTGAATCATTGGGTGCAATGAGAATACTTGTCAGATCTCTCTCAGCTAATGTGCAATTAGCCTTTTCTGACTCTAGAAGTGCCGTTAGAATTTCCTTTGAATTAGACGAAAATTTTAGCAGGTTAAACCCACCCCTCTTGAGCATCGACCTTAGTCCCACGCCCAAATTAATCGTTTTATGGATTGTATCTGACCCAGTCAGTAAATCATCTACATAAAAATTCTTCTTTGCTTCTTTTGCTGGTTCAGGAAATTCATCTTTCTCATCATCCGCCGTTTGATGAACTGAGCGGATTGCTTGAAACGGTGAGGGTTTTAATCCAAAGGTAACCATGCTTAATCGGTATGTCAAAATGGGTTCGTCTTTATTATTTCTCCATAATACTCTCAACATATCTCTATCATCAGGACTCATCCGTACTTGCCTGTACATTTTTTCTATATCACCAATGATGACATATCTGTGTTGCCGGAATCTGAGTAAAATTGAAATTAAATCATCTTGAATTACTGGTCCGTTCATTAGTGTTTCATTTAGACTTACTCCAGTCGTTGATTTAGCTGACCCATTTAAAACTACTCTTACTTTAGTTGTTAATTTCGATTCATTGATGACTGCATGATGAGGCAAATAAAAACAACGTTTCGCTTCAATTTCATCATCTGGAACAAGTTCCATATGATCCAGCTTCAAATATTCGTTAAAGACTTCTGAGTATCGAGAAAATAAATCCGGAGAGAGTCGCCTCTCAAGTGCTAAAAACTGTCGCAAAGCTTGAGTTCTCGATTCCCCAATTTCAGACACCCTTTCATTAAAAGGCAGTTTTACTTCATAACGGCCTGACGGTAAACGTTTCATTGTAGCTGAGTAGTGTTTTTCACATTCCACCTCTTCCTTTGTTTTACCTTTGAACACGGTAGCATATGACGTGTTTTCTTCCGTTTCCCAAAATTGTCTTAAATCTTTCAAACAATCCTCAGTTCTCTCCGAATTTGTGACCAAAAAACTTGAAATTTGAAGCGTCTGTGATGCAAAATGTCCCGACACAAGCCACCCCAGTAGCGATTTCTGCAGTAAAATATCACAATCCGAAATTTTTAGGGGAATTTGACCAACACATAATACTTTAAAAAAAACTCCAGCCCCAATCAGAAGATCAATGGGAGCACATTTATTAAAGTCCGGATCTGCTAATGTTAGATTCTGAGGTAAAGATGTTTTATCGACACTGAAGGAATTTAATGGTAAATCTTCCGTTATTTTGTTAGTGACTAAACACGGAATGATCATGTGAAAATTCTCGAATCGAGATTGAATTTTCAGGGTAACTTTACTNGGTCCGCAATGAAAGAGTGCGTCAGATCATGGGAGTCGAAAATGAAATCGTATTCGACGTCATGATCAGACAGCTTCCTTGGTACGGTCATGTCGATAGAATGACGGACGTAGGACTGATGAAGAAGATGCTTGATTGGGTTTATTCCGGGGAGGAGACGAAGTGTCCGAGTGTTCCTGAATAGGTACCCTAATCAAAATGAATGACGAGTTCGACTTTTGCACGGTCCAAACGGTCAGTTTTCCGAAAAACAGAGAGGTGATCGGGAAAAATAAACGCAATTTTCAGATTCAGCGGCTCAAAACACATCGGAATAGTTCAATATTGCGTATCTGAGAAAAAATTCACCCACATTCTGCAGGGCCCCTGCAGGGGTACTGTACTAAAAAGACCAATAATGCTAATAATAGAAACTGACCTGGAAAATGAGTGCCTTTCGGAAATGAGTTCGGCCTTTGCATGGTCCAAATCTATACCATTTGTCATGAAATGTTTTTCCCCCTATTTTTTTGGAATCTATAACCTCGAAAACAGATATCTTGAGTGTTCACTCCTCTCTTTGCTCTGCATTTTACGTTGTGGCCACTAAAGAGCCAAAATCGGCCGCCATCTTGGATTTTGGGCATTTCTGTGGGTCGAAGGGTGTGTATGACTAATTTTTCTACGATCCAAAAAACATGAGAATCGACACCTCTCTTGACGTTTTGTGCTGTTTTACCAACATTTCAATTTTAGCCACCATTTTGGCCGCCATCTTGTTTTAGGGGTCTTGGCATCAAAATCGGAGAGTCTTGCAAAGATTTTCTCATTCTAGGGACCAAAATGAAGAGAGTAAACTTGCATCACAAATGTGCAAACGGGACGTAATTTTCGAACACATGCTCCCCTGACTATGCGATAAGTCGCCTTTTCCCGTCATTTTTGAGCAATTCCGGCCGGTTTTCATTTCCGTTTAGATACTTGCCGTATCGATGCACGTTGGTAAGTTTTTAATACTTGTAAGTATATACCTTAAGGTTGAAATAGAGAGAGAAAATTGGAAATTGCATTTACAATCCATGGAATGCATCGGTTAAGGTGTGAAAAATCGCCTTTTTGCGTAAATTTCGAGGATTTTTGGTCGGTTTCCGGTTTCCCTCAGGCCATTAATCGATCGAACGTCAACTCTAAATGAGCAATATGGACAGAAAGACAAGGTTACCAATCTATAAAGGAAAAAAGGGGTGTATACAAAATCGACAAAAATTCCCCTCTAAAGGATTTTGAAGAATTTTCAGTATGTCATTCTTCATTATAGGATAGGTACGCCTTTTTCCAAAGTTTCAAGGCCTGAAATGCATTTCTTTCCGCGTAGCAGCGTTGCTAAGTTGAAAACCGTCGAGCTCCATAACTTTTGAACAAAAAGAGATATTGAGGTGCGGTTTGCTTTAAAATTCTCCAAAAATTGCGTTCTTTCGAAATGTGTTTTCAATTCGATTGTTTAGGTACTTTAGGATTGCAATGTTACCATTTTCCGCACTTTCTTAAGGGTCAATTTTTTTTTCAACCCTAGTACACCGGATTCTCGATTCGAACAATAAACTGTTCTTTAAATTATTCGTACTTTTCCATTTCTTTTGATATATCATAGCTCCATGCGAAACGATTGGTAGCGGAGTCATGAGCAATCTAAGTTTACGCTCCGCACGAGTTTTGGTAAACGATAACCTTTTTAAAAAAAATATTTTATTTTTCACAAACACAAAATTATAAATATTAAAATTAGAGCAACGGGACTCGAAATAAAGAAACTGCTCACCAGTCCTCAATGGAAGGTAGAACGAGAGTGACAAGTCGCAAATCAGACGAAAGTCTGGTTTGTCGAAAACAAGCGGAAATATGCTGATACTAAAATTATCGGGAAAACGCGACTACCAACGGGTCATATACTGCATTGATAAAAAGAAAAAAACAAGTGCGTAATTGGGTGAGCACATAATTCGCGCGCCGACTGGAATCCGGGCGCCGCTCGCCGCTCGGAGTCGTCTGCACACTCCCTCTCTTAAGCTTCACGAGGTCATACCTATGTATTTTTTTGCGTACTTTCCATTTCTGGCCTTTATAATGGCCTCCGATGAATTTTTAGGGGCCTCACAGTCCATGGTTGCCGTTTTTGGCTCGTATTTAGGGTTTTTTCCAATTTTACTCACAATTCTACTGTAAAACTTAATTTAAACTGATCGACCGTGGGCCAGCAAGG